ATTAACGCTCGTCAACACTTGACTGTTTTCTCCGCATATCGCCCGTAGTCAAACGCTCGGCAATATTATCGGAATGACCCTCGTGCAATCCGGAAACTAGATCAACGGCAACATACGATAGGAAGTACTGCACTTCTCATAAAGAACAAATGCAAATGAGTGTTAAATGGATGATTTAGTGGGGGAGGGGGGGGGTGATGAACAACCGGCAAAAGTTTAATTGGATTCATAGAATCGTCACCCTAATTATGGTATAAATATGATTGGCTCCGTAAAGCTTGACAAAAGGCCTGGAGATGGGCACGCGCAGAAAATCTGCTTTCGACATGTTGCTATTAATTATTTGGATCGTGATTATTGGATGACTTGACAATAGGCATTGGATTACGTTGTCTTGGAAAAAAAATAGCGACGAATCAATCGCTTTCTTTTCAGAGGAAGTCAAGCGAAAAATTTGTTCTAGGCGCCTCCGCCCGTCTAAACGCGGCATTTCGATTCACATTGGGCTTATAGAATTTGAGTTAAGCACCAAAATCGCCCCATTTTGAGCTATTTTACGGGTTGTTTAATAAATTAATCGATGATCGATGATCCGATCCCGAATCTGCTTTATGCCAGTGATGTTGTTTGGAACACGTTTTTTCCCGTGGCGAGTACAACAGTAAACCCGAATCCCACTTCGCGATCCACTCAATGATTCATCCCCTTCCCAATCAATTCCTGATGAGTCCCGACACTGCGTAAGGCAGGAGATTAACGGGGGAAGGGGAAGCCGGATCGCAGGACAGCCGCGTGCAATCCGTCAGAGAAGCGTCAAGCGCAGATCAGCTCGAGACTGTGCACGCACATAGGTTCGATGCGACGTGTCAGGTGCGCGACACGTTTCCACAGTATTCCGTGTGACTTTCGTCATGACAGATGCTCGACGACAACTTTCGCTTCGTGGATCTATGCCGTCAGTCATCTCGAGGGGGTCTGCGTTAACGGGCATGATGAAACTGCGAGAACGCTGGGCATGTAATCGAGTTAGCCAGGATGTGCGTCTTGACAGCCGCCTGATCCGTATTGACGCGCGCATGCCGCATCCTCACTTGGGCGAACCAAAGAGCAGATATTTATTTCCAAGTGTAGCTAAAAGAACTTTGGAGCGTTTCCCCTCTCACTGGCCTGACATTGTGTCTTGGAGCGACCCGATGGACGTCATCATGTGAGACTCTACAGGAGTGCATATACGCAACACGTGATAACTTTGGTGAAAGTGAGTAAGCAGACATTATGGACATTATTATAACAAAAATAAGTGCTTTCAAATTCAATTTCATATTTGATGGTTGGACAGGCACGCCACTGGCCCAATTAATTGTCTACAAGCACTTAAAAAGTCAATTTTCCTGAATATGTCCCCCTATAATAGGCGAGATAGTATTTGGTGAAATTACGCAGTGGTGGCTTTGCTCACACAGCAATTATTTGCAGTCTGAACATAAAATATCTCCTGTGCTGGAGTCTTAAGGAGTCAACAGCACAAAAAGATGCTAGATTTTTTTTAAAATTATTTTTTAAATCAATTGTGTACCGTATTGGCCCGAATATAAGACGGTGTTTTTTGCATTGAAATAAGACTGAAAAAGTGGGGGTCGTCTTATATTTGGGGTCGAGACATTATACCCATTCACGACACTAGATGGCGCCAGATATCATTGGGGCAAATGCTGAACTTGACTCCCCAGGCCAAAGGGAACCCCTGCCACGAAGAATAAAAATAAAAATAGCGGTAGCACAAAGAAGAAAAATAAAAAATAGCGGTAAAAAGGAAAAGAGAAGAAAATAATAGAGGAGATAACAGAAAATGGAGAAACGTAGTGACAATCTGGAGAAAGGTGGGTCGATGATCGGCCAGGTTAACCGGCAGCTGAGGAGAAGTTATGATTTATATTTCAAAAACCAGAAGCCATTCATTGACGAATTTGATTGCACTTCAGATTTGAATGATGCAAAATAACATGCTTTTTCTCTCAAATATATTGTTATAATCATTGTTTCAGATGTACTCTAATTATTTTCTGTATAAAAATTCATTTGGTGTTCAAAAAGTCTTTTTTCAAACTTGAGTCTTGAAAAAGAGGGGGTCGTCTTATAATCAGGGCCGTCTTATATTCGGGCCAATACGGGACAATTTTCTACATGTATTTTGACCAAAGAATGTCAGAACTTTTATCAGGACACATCGTTTTTAAACAACAAATATCTTCTTTATTTTTGCATTCAAACTGCCAGACTCAAACTTGACGATAGTTGTTCATCTGCGATTGCGTAGGAGTGTCTTGTTTTGTTGTTTTCAAAGTATTTTCATCTTCCAAAATCAGCACCGATATTTTGGGGGGAGATGTGAGCCACGCAACAGAATATTTTGTTGAAAACTGTAATTAGTAGCGCTCGTGATTAAGTCATTCTCAAAGAGATTTTCGGATGGCGGCGAAAGCATCCTTTCAGAAAATCAGGCTCAGAATTGCTTGATTAAGCATATGTAGAATAATTTCATTGTCTGATTGAAATTTAATAAGACAAACAAAAACTCCTGTTTCGCCAGAAGATGACACGGGTACTTTTGGGTTCCATTTCATATCTAAAACAATTATATGCCGTCAATCCTGTGCAAACGGTAGGTTCCCTGATATTTGCTTGCAATCGGTCCACGGTGGACGCCATCCTTTGGCCAGAAGCTCATTTGTTTTGGAACAAAGAAGGAGTCGGATGGCAAGGAAGGGTAGAGTGGCGCAAGACGAAGACTATAATAACTGACTGAAAAACAGTGTGCTCTGAAACATTTTAGTCTTCTGGGAAATAAACTCCTCTTTGATTCGCGGGGGATGAGGAGGTGGGACAAATAGTTACTGTGGCGGTAGGGGGAGTGCATTTGTAAAGATGTTGAAGCGTTTTATATGTATAAAAAAAAAAAAAAGGAAAGCAAACGCAAACTGTGTAGGTGAGGAAACGAGGCCGGTGGGGGCTTGCGTGATTGTCTTACATCAAAATGAAAGAGAAAATGAAAGGCGGCGGCAAACAAAAGGAGGCGATTTTGACATACACGTGGACTCGGCGGGAGGAGGAGAGGAAGGTCTTACCCAAAAAAAAAATACAAATATGCCGAAAAGGGACAAAATAAATGTGCGGTCAAGTCACGGCGCGATTGAGGTATTGCGTGGGGATTTCACTTAAATCATGGGTCCTATGCCTGTATTTTAGCAGAAGCCTAACCAGTAATATTGCATCCATTCTTCTATTTTCTGACCCGCTTATCCTCACAAGGGTTGTGGGGTGTGCTGGAGCCAATCACAGCCGTCTTCGGGGAGTATGCGGGGGACACCCTGAACCGGTTGCCAGCCAATCGCAGGGCACACAGAGATGAACAACCATCCGTGCTCACACTCACACCGTGGGACAATGTCGAGTGTACCATTAGCCTGCCACGCATGATTTTGGAATGTGGGAGGAAACCGGAGCACCCGGAGAAAACCCACGCAGGCCCGGGGAGAACATGCAAACTCCGCAAAGGAAGGCCGTGAGCTGGAATCGAACCCTGCACCTCTGCACTGAGGTCGACGCGCCAGCCAGTCACCCACTGGACCGCCACCTATAATATATATATTTATATGTATTTTTTTGGAATAAAGATTAATTTATTGCTTGAGTTTGTTGCCGTTTTCAACTTTGTGAACTCTCCTCTCCAGAAGGACGCCTGCTTTGAGACGAGAGTCGGATAAATTCAGGTGAGCTTTCTCTGCCATGACTGCTGACTTCCAGGGGCTGTTCCAAACCGATAATTCACACAAACCGCCAGCGTAATGGACTTTGTGGGTGGAGGGGGGGGGGGTGTTTCAAAGACACAATGATAGCGGCGGTGTCGGCCTCCATGTGCGCTTCCACATGTGGTCACCCGTACGCATGTAGCAAAAAAAAAATCAACCACACGTACGCGACACACAGCTTGTCTCAGTTAGCTTCGGTTTCCAACCATGAAACGGCAGAGTCTTTGAAGGTGGCAAGCTTGACCACGGCTTTTCATCACGGCAGCTTCATACTCGACCAACCTAAGTATCCAGGTCAGACCCAAATTAAGGTTGGAGGGAGACAAGGAAGGACAGCGTGAAAAGGATTGTTGACAGGGAGGACCGTGTGACCCCCCCCGGCTGTAACCTGAGCCACGGTGGTGCCTGTGTGCACGTCCGGAAAATGCAGCAGATGGAGAAAATGAGCAATGCACCAGTTGCAACTACTTGGGAGTCAACACCATCGACTTACTCCGTAGTGCAGCGTGTTCTCCCTTTATAGGCTGGTTCTGTTTGAAGATCCCAAGTGAAACATAATTACTCAAAGTGTCGATTTGGGGGGTATAGAAATCGTCAAGCGTGATGTCAGCGTGATCGACCGGTTTGACAAAATGTCGTTTTTTTCACGGTATTGTGTTTCTTGAAAAAAGTGAAACGACTTGTTCAAAAGGAAAATACATTTCCTTGGTTCTGTGAAAAATATAGCTACCGCTGGCTAAATTTCACGCGGTATTCTAATCGTCTACTTGTTCTTGAAATCGTCAATCCAGAACCTTCAATAGACTGATTTTTATATATGTACGCACAGAGAAAAGTATTTTAAAACAATACATCTCAACTGAGAGACGATCTTTATATGTCGGGGAGGAGCCAAGGTTAGCCTGGGTTGTGACGGAGAGTCTTTCTTTGCTGCACACTTAAGGTGCAGGGTTGTTTTTTTTTTCTTGTCAGAATCAAAGACATTTCTTTTGAGGATAATGTAAAATAAGTGAGAAATATTTGATCATTTTGACATCATAGTTTGTGGTTTATCAATTTTTAACAATGTACAGTAGAGAGGCAATTCTAAACTCTTTGGGGGTCAATGACCTGTAATTTTTCTCGTCACCCCCTAACCCACGCAAGCAGCGGGGATTATTAACTCACCGGCCATCCTAAACATGAGCTCACCTTGTTCCCGATGGCTTTCTTTGGCGGGAAGTTGAACGCGTCCACCTGTGGGAACCGCGACCTCAGGCAGTTGTGCAGCTCCCGAAACTCGGTGTAGCGCCTGTACACATTCCACTCGTTGTCCAGGATGCGGATGTAAACCTGAGGCAGAGATGAAAAATGGAATATAGATTGATAAACACAAAGAAACATTTGATGAACTTGTCATTAAGGTTTCATATATCGCCTTGCGGGAATCAGCAGTGTAAAAAAAACAAAAAAAAAAACCAAAACAAAAAAACCCCCCAAGGTTTTCAGACATCCTCTGGCTAACATAATGCCACGCCGAGATAGAGTCTGTCTTTAGACGTGACAGCTCTGCCACCATTTCCATGCACCATTAGCTGCTTTATTCACACTCACAAAAGAGAGGGGGAGCGCGGAGAGGAGACAAAATGAGCCTATTACAAAGAAAGAGAGAAGGAGATGGGCTTCTGTTTTCATGGAAGGAAAACCGGGAGTGAGAGATGAAATGCTTTTTTTTTTTTTTTTTTTCCTTTTCGAAAATTCAATTTCAACACAGAAGTTAGTACAAAAGTTTTGGAAAGTAGTGCCATAGCATGGATCATCACAAATAGTAGCCAGTTATATATGAAAGAGAGAAAAAAAAAAAACGGGGGAAGGCTGAAATAAACCATGTTACCTCAAGCAATTTTCTTTTTTGGCATGAACCCTGTTAGGAATCTTCAAAACATGGAAAAAAGATGTAACATGGGGAGAGCCACTGCATTTTTATTTTATTTTTTTTATTTTTATTTTTTTCGAGGCATGACGATTTCATTTCAACCTCCATGCATCCATTTTGGAGACCAATTTTCGACACGTTGAAGTCATTGCTCATTCATCACAGATGTCACCCCCGATGCTGATGGAAAAAAAGCCAGCGGCCGTCCCTTTGGACCCCCTCTTTTACATGTCAATGATGTGCTACCTGTGGGATGAGCGGCTGTTAGTGTGTCACTCTGGGGCGCCCCCCCCCCCCCCACCACCACCCCCGATGTGCGAGGGATATTACAAGAGGTTCATCAAGCGTGACGGGAGCACGCGTGAGGCTTTTACATGCAATCAAAGTTGCTGTATTTGTTGTGTGCCTCTATGGCACTTTGCATTTATTAGTATCATACCAAAGGGGATAATTTTAGACTACACCGGTGCATGGACCGTCATTAGGTGATGCTCCCGGGTTTTCGCCATTGTTGTGATGTCGAGTGTGCATTTAGGCCGTTGGAGGGAAAAGCTTGATGACGAGACTTATCCAGAGGCGAAATACAAACTAAAACAATAGAGACCCAATATTGCATTGGACATGGGGAAGAAAAACAGTGCAAAGTGTTACCTTGGATTGGGCATTTTAATGGCAATGTGGATTCAGTCTTATCTAGTTTACCTTCGAAAGAAGAAAAACCGACATCAGATTTGAGAAGTTGAGCCGTACATCCACATCGGCCTCAAGACAACAGTGGCATGAAAATGGGATAAATGGTCACATTTCCCATCGCGTTAAAAATAATAATAATCATCATCGGGTGATCGTTCGGTCAAGGAAATTTAGCTAAATGTCATTGCCTGGCTCATCCAACATTTCGAGACAGGCTGAAGGTGATGCTAAGGGGTTGCCAAAACAACAAGGCAAATGCTATTCCCCTCACGTCAGGCCGGCAATATGAGCCCAAAAAATTAGGAAGTTTTTCAAGAGTTGCGAAACTATGACGGATTGATGCTGTAAAATACACGGGATATATTTGCATAGCTCACGCGTCACCGAGTATAATTAAATTCAGGAGTCCCATTGCCCAGATGTGACATACATGTTGTAAAATATACATCATAATAATTGTATCGCACAGACCATCTGGGAGAAAGCACAGTTACACGATTTGACATTTCTCTTGAACGTCGCGCTTGTTTCCAGTCACATGAAGTTGACTGTGCGTTAACACTGACAATGCAAGGCTGCACAATTGGAACCATGCAACAGTACATCCCACCGATATGCGACGTACGACCGCATTTAGTCAAGCACGTGAAACGGAAATGTCGAAAACCCATTTTATCCGCGAGACGATCTGAAAAACTGAATGCCCTTTACATGAGAGCCAAGGTGGTCATCCCGCTGCCGGTGCGCAGTGGCTCATGGGAACTGAAAGCGGTCAACAGGCCGATAACTGCCCTTCGAATTTCAAAGAAAAATGCAGTCCAAAAGTTGAGTTAGAATACAGACAAAACAAAGCAGGTTGGCAACATCTCCGTTACTCGTGTATTGACATTACAGTCATCTGTACGGTTACGTTGCGTCTTGCGCTTGAACGATTTCTTTTCGCACTTCCATACACATTCACTGAGAATGGTTCTCAAAATATAACCTGCGCCGTATTTAATACCGTCGCGTTATGACGGCAAAGGAATGCAAGTCTCGTCTCTTTCATGAAGTGTGAAGTTCAAGTCAGTCACACGAGAGAGGAAATAAGATCGTAAGGACAACAACAGTGCTGCAATATGACTGACGTACAGTTGAAGAAGCAGCCGTCTTCTTTCACTTTTCGGAAGGGTTGCAGAAGTCGCAGTGCGTTCAAGTTTTCTAACCTTTTTTTTTCCTGTATTTTTTTTTAATGACCAGGATGGGAGAGAGGCTTCATTCCTAGTTATAAGAAGACTGTTACTTTTGCCACGGATGTTTTTGTCAGGGGGCGCATACCACGACAAAGCATGAAATGTGAAATGTGACAAATCTGACATTTTGGACAAGTCATTAGAAGGCATGTGAGATGTTTTGTTCGACGCCGGAAAGGTCTCGTTGTTAAAGCATCAGCATCAGAGGCGTGTCTAGACAATATTAAGATATCCCAAAAATTGATTTACCGTATTTTTCGCACTATAAGGCACTTTGGAGTATAAGGCGCACCTTCAATGAATGGCCTATTTTAAAACGGTTTTCCTGTATAAGGCGCACCGCATTATAAGGCACAAAGAATAGAGGCTACAATAGTGGCTGCGGTTGCCTTATGCATCCACTAGATGAAGTGACGCTAAAGGGAATACAATACAGCTTTATTTATATCGCGCTTTCACAACTGCTGCAGCCGTAACAAAGCACTTTACAGAACATTTAAAATACTACGTCCAAGAAATCCGAATATTGATCCATATATCAGGCGCATCGGATTATAAAGCGCACTGTCAGCTTTTGAGAAAATTGAATTCTTTTTGGTGCGTCTTACAGTGTGGAAAATACGGTATTTGTGATCTTGAACTTCAGCGCCTGTTCAAATATAATCCAGACGGATTATTATTAGTTCTACCTCCACTTGGCAGGACGCTGGAGGGAAGCAGTTGGCACATCTGCCTCACAGTTCTGCAGTTCAGGGTTCGAATCCCGGCTAGGAGTTTGCATGTTCTTCCTGTGTATTGTCTCCCAGCACTTGTTGCTAGTCTATTTACACATGTCTTGCGACTGGTTGGTGACTCCAGTGAAGACAAGCGCTATCGATAGTCGTGGTCTGATGCCTTCACATTTTAGACGAGAACGTATCAGAACTGAAATATATTTCATACATCCTGCTGATTCAATTGTATAGTGAATAGAGCGCAACGTCGTGTATCATAGCAAGATACTAAGTCAAACAAGCTGTTTCAAATTTGCTTGCTATGTCGCGTTTCCATAAATTAGAGCATTATTTAATGCAGAGTGACTCTTATTTATCTCGCATTTTCCAAGTGGCTTCTCCGACATTCCCCACTGGGAATTTTGCATGTGCCGAACGCATAAACAGACCGTCTGTGTTTTGCTTCCATTAGTCTGTAAAAATGTGAAACGCGGAAGCAGCTGTTGTTGTTGTCGAGCTGCTGTTTCCGATCCCATTAAAATGCAGCACCTCAAACTAAAAGAGGAGGCCGGGGAGAATTACTTTACTCGAACTTAACATTTATCGAAAGGACGCGAGTATGAAATATTCTATTCTGATGGTTTGATTGGAAGGGAGTGGCCATTCCCTCCCTGACAGCAAACAAGTCTTACTTTTGGTGAAACAAGAAATGAAATATTGTGTAACATACCCAAAATTAACTAATAACACACAGAATACTAAATCGTGGCTTTAAGATCACTCACATGAGTAACCAGGACGTCCGGGTAAACATTTTGGTCACCCGCACTCGAAACCAGATGATGTCAAAATACAGCAAGTGACTTTTCTTTTCTGTTCGCGTCAGTCATCTGCAATGTTCGGCTTTCCAGAACATCTTTGTTGCTTATTAGCACCCGAAAATAAAATTCAGTCACACTATCTCTATCAATTATCTTTTCTCCCCAGGCTCTACCTTTACCTTATCGTTTTCGAGAGAGAAAGAGAGAGAGAGAGAGAGAGAGAGAGAGAGAGCGCTTGATTGGCTTCTCCAATAGTGCAGTATGGCGGCACAGCTAACTCATGGTCTCAATTGTGTGTGTGTGTGTGTATGTGTGTGTGTGTGTGGGGGGGGGACATGTGGTCACGACCCGCACACTTGCAAGAATGTGTTATCC